TTCAGACAGTCCTCACTCTTTTGTTTGTCTGCCACATCACACTCACTATAACAGTAAAGCTGTGACAAGGATGAGAAGAATGCTTTGCAAAATCCTAAAATCACCCAGTCGATTATAATCGCATGCTACCAATGTTTGGCGCTTAATTCACGAGGTTCTGTTGAATGTCACAGGAAAATTTGTATCATTACAATGACATTATAACAATGTATTATTATAATGTCAAGTCTTGTGCTGAGGTGGGGCTGAGCATGAAAGCTGGGCAGAGTTCACTGTTACCTGAAGCAGTCCCTCAGCTCCACATTCATAATAATGAACACTACCATCATGAAAAATCACATTTACTACATATTTTATATGCCCATGCTTATAATCAATATGAAAAAAAGATCTGGCTTAAATATCTACATATCTAGTATGTTAGGGGTAATTAAACACAAAAAAGCGCATGGTGTTTCTTTCCTTTAGTAATTTTACAACATTTAACAAGATGATCTCTCCTACTGTCTTTTGATGGGAAATAAACTACACAGAGTCAGATTCACCCTAGATTAAGTTATTCTCTAATCAGTCTTTTATCTATCATCCCTGTACACAAAGATATGCTTTGCTCATGCAATAAAAAAGGAATTATCCATGCAAACCAGAAATCATTTAGTTAAATATGTATGCAGCATACCACCATCATTTATGGTTTCCTTCTGTGCTTCGGTATTTCAAATTGGCATTCTGTGTGTCAAATTAATCTGAGAGTTCTATTTCCAGTCCCAGTGTTTATGCCAAAGGCAGTATTTAAAAAAAGAAAATCTCAAGAGGGAATTACCATGGGGAAAAAAAATCTTTAAAATAGATTTAAATACACTGATGTAATAAGCTCTGCTGTAAAGTCCAAGTATTCCATAAAATAATACTGGTTTAGCTGGTTTGAAAGCACTATATTCAACTTTAAGAGAGGCTAATGAATTCTGGTTGCCTCTACCTTCCTCCATGATCAATGTCCAAAGCATGACACAGATTGCTGTAATGATGGTAGGGAGGTCAGTGTAATTTCTGGGGTGTGCTGGTTTGTCAGCGATCACCAGTGTGGACCTCAGGTTACCATTCCCCTCAGTAATATGAGCAGTAGCCCTCTGCAACCTCGTGGTAAACATTTTTACAGCCTTTGCTTAATTAAAATGTCACATCCACTGTAGCAATATACATCTGAGTTCTCTGCAAATTAAAAAGGAATTAGGCTGGCAGATGTGGCCTTAATGGCTTAATCATGCCTTTACGTTCGTTCCAGTTAAGTGCGGCCACAGATGAATATCGTTTCATCGCTCACATCCATGAGTAATGCCTAAAAATCCATTTGAAACGTAAATCTGGAGACAGCTGCTAGGGGTATGTATGTCCCATGAAACATCAGTATCTGACAACAAGTCAGAAAATGGAGTATATCCTAATGTAGAATCCAGAAAATAGGTAAAAATTCAATAAAATGATCAGGCACACTGGTTAAGTACTCTGTTGGACCTTCACACCTGCAACCATACTGTATGCCATTCAACTTCAGTGCTTCTGAACAATCAGTATTTGTTTATCTTTATGGTATATATTGCATTGCTTCTTTGAAACATATGTCAGGTACCACAGGCACTTCTTGGTGCACTGTGTATGTCAGTATGTAAGTATGCTCTAATTCATACCTTGTTATTATGTTGGGCAAATACAATAATACTGGATATCATTTGTATCATGGATCAACATGAAAGAGCTATTTTAAAATATTTTGTGAAATAGGTACATACAAGCTTACAAGTTTGAGACTTAAGTAATGAAGCTATCACAATTTTCTATGGAAGGACTGTCTGACGACAAGACATGGACAAAGTATTTCCAGGTTTCTGACAGTCACCATGTTTACGCAACAGAAAAATCTTTGGCAGAAGTTTCAAATATGAGTGCAATGGTGGGAAACAGTACTGCATTATTTCAGTCTGTGTACATGGTTGCTTTTCTTTCTCTCTCTCAAGAGGCCACACTTGGCGCTCCTGTCCTTCAGCTCTCTACAGTGCATATACAGTGCTATGGTATGGCAATATCATCAAGGTTGGTGAACACAATTCTCTGGAAGATTTTATCGTCATTCTTTCTCCTTGCTATAGAAAAACCTGCATGTGGATACTTCTGGAATGAATCATCTTAGAATTTACTGATAATACTATATTAGAAGTTCAATCACAATGCACCATTGTAGTTGTTTCTAAAGCTAGCAGGCTATATTGAGCTACTTTTTACTGGAACACATAATAACTGACCTTTATCAACATCACTTACTTGAAAAACAATTCCATGAATATGCTCATGTTTCAAAATATTGAATCTGCCAAACACAGTCCTATCTATTGTGAGCCGTAGTACAGCATTAAAGGGAGAAAATGTGTGTTTTAAATGGAGGACAATATTGCAGAGCCCACAGCTGCAAAACCCATGTAAACATATGATCGACAATTTTATATGATTATTTGAGTGATGAAAATTACCCTGACAGAAATAAAATTGGATGATTATCGATTGGTTCATTTATATAAATCCCATAACTTCAATATATAATAATAAAAGGGAGGTTAATTACAGTTTCAATGTACTATGAGCAGCAGACACTGAATGTAAAATGAGCTTTAACGGAGTAGTAAAAATATTTTCCCAGTGTTGGAAACTCTGCATGTACTGTACTCATGTACTGCTCTAGATTGTTCTACCTAGAGAATGTTGATCTTTCCTCTCTACCACTACAGCCTTTCCCCTGAAAGTGTAATCCTGAGAATGAATGTAGAGAGACTAAATTAAGGGACCCAATTTGAAGCGGCACCACTTCACTGATAAGCTGTACCAGTGATCTGTGAGAGCACTCAGGGTCTGCTACATTATGACAATACAGAGGAATAACGCAGATGAAAGAGAATAGCCTGGCAAGAGCAGAAATCAGATGGGCAGAGGGAGAGAAAAAACAATCTAATGTCTAATTGTGTTATGCCTCACGGCAGCAAGGGAGTTCAGGGAGACACATTTTCTTTCCACATGTCTTTCAGCACAGTCCCTTCCCCAACGTAATCACATTCATTTCCAACCAGTCCCGGTCTTTCTTGCCTAATCGTAGAGCATTTATTGAAAAAGTGACATGCAAGGCAAATGGTCGAATTCTTAACCAGACCCATCAGGTTTGACCAGAAACATGCAGCGTTGGCATTTGAGGCTGCGCATTTAAGCATGTTGGCAAGATGTGTCTGACACCCTCCAAGTCATTCTGTGTCATCTCTGCCCTTTGGGGAGAAAATGTCACTTTGATGCCTCTAAGCATTGGGAAGCCACTTTGAGGCCAGTGATTCAGTTAAGTAAACTATTTTTTCCCTTTGTCCCATTTTTTTCCCAGTCTTGATAAAATGTAACTACCACGATAAAAACTGCATTCAGACAAGCCAGGCCTGTCCAAGAAGCAGGCAATGTGTATGTTACTTCCTGTTTTGATCTTTTACCATTAGCTGTACCTATGTCTACACTAACGAACCTGTTTCAAAAAGCAAGTAATTGTTTACTAAAAGCTACTTGACTTGGTGACCAGCAGCAGCACAAAACCTTAAAAAGGCAAATGCTTATTAGGTTACTTATTTGAGTCAAAGTAATTTGATTGCCTATATAATTGTATTAAAACAATCAGTTGTCATGACACCATCATCTTCTGGCTTATACTGTGTTCTCTAATATTGGTATATGTCAAACCTCCATAACTGCAGCAAATGTCTAATATGGGCAAAAATGTTATGTGGTTGTTCTTTAAATGTGACAGTATTAGGTTTTCACACTGTGGTTAGTAAGGCTATTTGAGATGTCTGGAAAGACAAGAGGGCCTATCTATGTTTATAATTTAAAAAAATAGAAAAATCCCTGTGAGCAGCAACACTAAAATCGTTTCTTTCTATTTGCTGCAGAGCCTCTTCCAAAATTTAGGACGTGGTGGTGCAGAGTCTGACCATGAAGTGGAATCTGACATGTATCATCTATTACTTTACAGTGCTCACCGTACTAATTGCATAGTCACTAATATCTCAATTTAAGCATTTACCACAAATGATGATAGTGATAAATTCCAGGCCGTGCAATTCTAAAAATCTAATTTAAGTGCAAGTTAAGGATATGCTAATAATCTGTGATATATTATAAATTAGGGGTAATTGGGCTTTTATTGTCAGGGGACCTAAACACTGGAACAGATGGCCCAGTGACATCAGGCTTGCTAACTGAATGTCCATTTATATATATCACATGACTTGCTGTTCAGGCCTGGAAACTCGGTTCCGAAAACAGGGCCAAAATTCACATTGCGACACATTGCTTTCATCGCGGCTACGCTGTCACTGGGCCAAACTTTGTTTGGCGGTTAGCTAAAGACGAACAACACACGGAATCTGTCTTCTTTCTTGTTAGCTTTTGATATTAACACAAGTGACTTTTCCTAACAAAATTCATATTGTGTGTAAAATTCTGCTTTTTATGCAATAATTATTACAGCAATTTGAAATATGCTAGAAGGTTCTAGCAGTATTTGAGGGTGTACTTACCCTTTAAGCTCAATGAGAGCTCAGAGTTAACAGAAACATTTCAAGTTACAGCAAACATGAGGTCAAGAAGGGTCCTGCCTTGACTGCAGTGGGTGTGTTTAGTCAGACCTCTGACTCAGATACACTGTTCTATTGTTGTTCTATGCCTTGATTTATGTACATTCAATTCATTTTTGTTCTATATAGATAATGTTATAGTCTGTGTGCATGCTGGGATCAACATGCCATGGTTAGTGTGGATTTTCACCTAAATATTGTTGGCTATATCTATATAGATTTATTATTATTGAAACTGACCTTTTAATCCACAACAGACTTAAGAAGTGAAATAAAAGGCAACAGCAACCACAATTACAAAAGGACAGAAAGAAGATACTGTATGAATTTATTTTGACATACCTGCCGGGCTTCTCAATGTCAGACGTCCATACACTGTTATAGAAGAAAGGAAGGCCTTCGGAAAATCCCCAGTGTGACTCTATTCACAGGTCACTTACTCCAGGGTCTGAAAAAAACAAAAGAAATACAAGAGCATACTCAAAGCTGCCATGGAGAGTGCGCTCACAACTTTAACCACCTCAGCACCCACAAATGCCCAGCGATCCAGAATAAACATCCTTGAAGAAATGTCAGTCTTAGGAAGAACATTAGCTGAACCACACCAGGTAGTAGAAATTATGTGTATGCCATATGCACAGTATCTTTCTCCTTGCCTGGTCAACTTAATAATTAAGTAAGAGTTACAGCAGGACAGTGAAAAGCCCCTTACAAACTGACTGACAACACGTGAAACCAACCACTTTTTAAAACATTTTTTTAGCCACTTTATTTCACAGAGGAGCATAGCAACATAGCTACTTATTGAACAAACATTAGGTAATCTGCAATCACAAGTGCTTGCTGTGGCCGTGGCTTTCTGTTGTGACAGCTTTGTGCATTGAGTGGGAGAGAGCAGCACATTCAATCGACCGCAGCCAGAATTAAACATGGTGGTTTACATGTTGTTGTCACTCAGTATATCTTACCAACGTGCTGCACTCATGGTCTGGAAAAGTATGCTTGCCTAGTTTTCTCTCCTAGATGCCAAAACTATATACAAACTATAATGTGTAAACAAGTCAAGGTGGAAGTAATAATGTGCTATTGTTGTGCACATTTGTGTACACAAATATTATGTGCTTAGACAGAAAAAAACTTGGTTTAGTGATCAACCAAAATACATTGCAGATCATAGTAAAAGCATAATATGCTAAATACCGTAAAACTTTGAATAATAGCCCGGACTTTTATTTGCTAAAATCACTGAATCTACCCTGCCTTCATTTGGGACAGGCTTCCATATGGAACAGACATTTAATTCTTTTTGCACAAAACTGAAACTACTATGAAAGAGTTTATTTATTTCAAACAGAATAACACTTATGTAAAAATTGTCAAATACACGTCATTCATTTAATAGAGTAGCTCCGAGTACTAGCTCCGACAGACGGCTTATGCACTTTTATTTTGAAGGCAACCTCACGACAACAACACGGTGCAGGATGAGAGAAGTTAGCAGACAGAGAGCGATGGGCTTCACATGACAGGATTCACAACTTGGATTATTTTTTATGAAAAGCTGTTTTGATTCTTTTGATCGGTGGACCCTTACAGACTAAAGGAATCTAAATAATCAAGGAACGCACACATTCGGACTTAACGAACGCTTCAAATAAACGTGAGTCAGCACTTTTCCTCTCTTGTAGCCATGCAGGTTACACCGGTAAATCTAGAAGAATTAGACTTTGGGTCTCGTTGTTTCCGTTAAATGAACTTAACAGTGGTATTGTGGAGAATCTAACCGGTCTAACGATGTGCAGCATGTCCATACTGACATATTGATCATACCTTTAAACATTAATAGCTTATTTGTATTAAGGATCTAAGCAGCTTAGAAGCAGGTAAAGCGGCGACCCCGCAGGGTTTAAGAGGTTTTATACATCCAAAGAACTTCTATAAAAACCAGACCAGACATTTAATTAAGGCAGGCGTTTATTTGTTAAAATGTGTCCCCACACCAGGCCAGTAAAGGAGGCAGGCGGCTGTTTGGGACTCGGCTATTAATTGAAGTTTCACGGTACTAAGAAGCTAATGATATGGACAGTTACAAATGTGCCGATTGAAGGGTGATACTATGATGGTTATTTACGAATTTCAACTCATATGATGGCTGGAAGGTATTCCAGTGAGCGTACAATCAGCTAAAACTTTTTTAGATCACCTCATTAGGGTGCTGTTATTGACAATGTGGCCTGCCAGAACTTGTTGATAGCACAAATCATGATCAAAATGATGTGTTCACTGGGTTTTGAAAGCTTACAGATAAAATCAATTTCTTTGACTGGTGGACTTCTGGACAACTAGGTAATTCATAGTACATGACAGCAGAAACGATTACATAATGCACACTGTAGTGCTGAGTCAGGATATGCTGTAGCTTTAATGTCACTGAACTTTCAAATCAGAAGTGCTGCCACACAGAGGATTACTTCTCTAGAAGATTATACTAGTAAACCCTTTGAATATTCATTTGTTGATTATCAATTTTTGTCCTTTTCTTTATTCCCTGAGAGTCAAGTTACCATTTAGCAGATTATTTGTTCATACCGCAACTGGCTGTTAACCTATTAATGTTGATCACTTATATTACTGCTATTTTTTTTATGAAAGAAACACATAGTATGAAGTAAATGAGACGTGAAGACAATTTATCCAGCCAGTCTGATCCATACTGCAACTGGATTCATAACAGATTATGAAACTGTGAAGGATTAGAAAAATGTAGGCCCCAAAACTCTCAATGTCAGCTAGAATTTGCTCACTGGCTTGCTCAGTGACTCCACTTCCTAAGCCATATTTGAGGAACTTAAAAAGGCCATATCTACTGTAGCTACAAATTTTGTATAATTTCACATCTGATATAATTTCTTTGAACTCAAATAGCTTGATGCACACCACCGGCCAGGCGTGGGAGAAGTGGCTGCTGACACCTCAGATATGCTCACCTCTTCCACTGATTTACCAATGCTGCTATTTTCATCCCACCCACTGATCAGCCTAATCCACTGTTGGAGGATTTGTGCGCCATGGCACAGAGCAATTGTGCTGCGGCAAAATGAGTGTGGCTTAATTGGAGCAAAGACTTAATGAGGGTCCCTTGAGGATTATCATCTGTGGCTTAGAAATGGCCCAGGTAACGGAAGACACAGTCAAAGGGATCAGCTCACAGCTTTCTAACTTGGAGCGACAGTGCTGAGCTGCCAATTGAATTTTTTCTATAATTTTTCTATAATTATCTTTTTGTTTCTTGGAAAGAGGGGACTAAAGTGAAAGTCTCTGTGGAAAATATGGCTGCAGGACCAACAAGATTCTGTTGCAGTTGGAGGAAAATAATGGAGCATTTACATATTTACTTTTCAGCATATAATTTTCTGCTGTTGACTGTAAATTAAGACTTTTTTTACTACATTATCTACTAAATATAATTTTGTAGTAACTGCAACACAAGTGACTGAAATTTTGTCTAAGTTGTTGTCTTTATTGTAACAGGAACCTAAAATGTATTGTTTTGCCTATAAAATGTCAGAAATACCGAAATATGTTCATCACAATCCCCTAAAGCCCAAGGTTATATCAGATGGCTTGTTTTGTTTGACAAGCAGTGTAGAAATATTTACTTTACCATCAACTATGAAAAATAAATACAGCAAATTGTCACAATTGAGAACAATGGAACTAGAATGTTTGGCAATTCTGTTGGAAAAATGCCAAACATTCTCGTTCCGTTGTTCTCCAATAGTTGTGGATTATTTTTTTGTTGATCGAATTAACCGACTAACTGTTTCACCCTTAAATGTTTTATTATTGAAAAATTTCGTAATTCTAAAAGGAAGAAACACACATAACTGGTACAGGAAATGCTGCCACCACAGTACAACGGTAAAATAGAGCTGTCTCTAGCTCTAAGCAGTTTATTCCTCCAAGGAGCCCATCTCCATTTGACAGCCACAGATCAGATATGACTGACCAAGATAAATGGTTAGGCTCTAAAGTCAGATCAATTCAATCTAGCAACTGTCCTCGCCAGGAACAAAAGGCCACACTGTCAAGAAGGCTCAACTCACTTCAATGCTTATTCACTGTCTTTTTGTCCTTGTTACGTAAATACTAGAAAGTGTGAATGTCCATCCTCTTAAAGTTGAACAGGTGCCATTCTCAAACTCTTCAGTTCATTTGCGTCGCTACAACTGGATTTTTTGTTTGTCTTTTTGTTGTTGTTTTTTATCCTTTCAGTTCAGCCCTGCAGGCTACAGAGTTTGTTGTGTGCAATAAAACCCTTTCAATCACTGGCTTGTTTCCGTAAGCCTGTAGTACATCACCATTTCCCTGTTGGATTTATGACCAGACTTTACATCCTCTATCATGAACGATTTCACATTTCAATTCAGTGGGTCTCAAGGTCTGAACACAGCCACACTCAGCAACAGTGTTGCTCAGCCCACACCCCAGGCAGAGATTTCATTATCTTGCAAGCCACGAAGGGCAAGTCAACGTTTATGCCGTTCAATTCAATTGATGACACAAACATGAAAAAGGAGGCTTTTAGGCCCAGCTGCATTGATCCAAATTTCAATTACATTACATGCACAATAATGAGCATCAACAACATTAATTTCAATATTTGTCACTACATTGTGTCCAAGTATGTTCCTGCATTGACTGAACTAACAATTTCAGGTCACAGATTAGCACTGGCCATACATTTCTTTATGAATGCATGCTTAGTGAATATAGTAGTTAATTCACCTTTGCAATGTCACCAGACTTGAAGTTATGAAGTTTATTACTTATTGTAGCTACAACCATTCCCACATTTTATTTTACAAGCAAATGCTGCTCCTCCTCGAAAATGTTAACAGTTGGACAGTATTAGTGAGAAGTATGGTGACAAATTTAAATTACAGAATGCATTACAGATTTCCTGAATATAAGAGTTCTCTTCCTGTACACTGTGATATATAAAACTATTAAAGTGATTATGATGAGAACTTCTAAGAGCTTTGGTACAACGTTATGATTTATTTTGTATTTTTCTGTGTGTGTGCTATCTCAAAGATAGGGAGCATAACACCTGTAAATGTAATGCCTTTCATATTGGGTGTTTACAATTCACGCTAACAATGAAGCATGAGTTTTTAAATCAGTCTTTGTTTTATGGTAGATTGCCTCCAATGAAATGAATTTACATCACCAATAGAATAAGAGTTGATGTGTGGTTGATGGAAATGACAACATACTACATACAGTATTTTGACACTCTATTCGACAGTGTAACTCAGCAATGTGTGCATGTAGAGACACTGCCAGACTCCAATCCATCCAATTCATTTTGCCAGTTTTATGAAAAGTATTAACAACCTCCCCCATCCTCCTTTTCATCTGTCTCTCTTCAAAGAGAATAAAACA